ATTCAGTTTATAAGGACTTGTAAATACAATCTGAACATTTTTATAATAAATTATTTTTCATTAAAATATTAATCATCCAATTATTAATATTGTGCGATTTATTAGTGTGTACAGGCTACTGTTATGGGGCTATAAGCAGTACACCCTGAAAATGAACCCTGAAATCTGAAATTCTGCTACCAAACCTTTCCCTAAAAACTTAATAAAATGTCAGATAAAATAAAAAAACAAAACATTTATTTCTACATTAGAGGCCTCCTACAACATTTTAAAAGTGAAAAAATATATTGCCGTTTTTTTTAACCATATTTGGGTCTTTGAGGGTTAAGCTTTCTATATTGTGAATAGAGAATGTGTTTCTCTACTGTAATGCTGTGTATTATACATTTTTGAAATTGGGGTCTTCTGTCGGTTTCCAGGTTGATGAGGATATTTTTAGCTTGACATAAATGATGCAAATCCCTGTGATGGGTTTAGGCACAGCACTTCAGTGCTCTGAAGCAGATGTTGTTTCAGGCAGCTATTCAGGGCTTGGTGCTTGATATAAGCAGTGAAAATTGATCCTTATAATTACGATTATAAAATAATCTTGATGGTTACTGTGGGAATTGGGAATTAGTAATCTGACTAGTCTATCCTGTATATAATTGTCCAGCCGTAGTGCTGTCTCTGCATATCTGTAGCTTTCTGCAGTCTTTAGATTAGAGCATGTAGACTTCTTCCTTTTAATTCTCCTCTTGGTCGGTTTTATTCCCCTTTGTCTGTTCGCTCGATAGTTTATCTTTTTCTGATGTTGATAAAAACATCAAACTAGACTCACACCCGCTAATGATGGAGATGGGAAATGTTCCACTCCACCATGATTGGTTGCCCATTGGGGAGTCATAGAAATGAGCCCTGAATGACCAATGAGGTGCTTGTCCTCAGTCGGCAAGCACGGTTTCTTTCATCAGAAAGATGTTCAGTCACCAAGACCGGCTATGCCTCCAGTTTACATCTTAGAACTTGCAGCTGATGCAATGCCACGACAATATGGCAACCGCTGTACCCTGTTATGCATATTTTTAGGGGATTTTAAGAGCTTTATACAGCACTGTGAATTGATCAGAGTTTGGAAATTCTCTTTGCTTTGACTCAAGCTTTATCTAATTGCAGCATTAGCATCTTCGTGTCTTTTGGTGGGGGTTTGGAAAGTTTTTGCTCAGTCTTGCAAGTCAACCCTTCATCTACACTGTGGGACAGTATGAAACTAATTTAGCAAAAACTTGCTGTTAGAGCACAGCTGTACTATGTTTGGATTGTGCCCAGAATAAAACAGGAAGTGGGGATTAACTGGCCTGGGTGGCAAGTTCTGCATTTATTTAAGAGCTAAACAGCTCTGAGAGAAGTAGTTGTGCTGTATATATTTTATTTAAAGGAGTAGTTCACTTTAAAAAAAAACTTTTGCTGAAAATTTACTCACCCCCAGGTCATCCCAGATATCCATGTCATTCATTCTTCAGTCGAAAAGAAATTAAGGTTTTTGATGAAAACATTCCATGATTTTTCTCCACATAATGCACTTCAATGGGAACCAAACGGTTCAAGGTCCAAAAGACACTTTCAGTGCAAAGTGTTCAAAGGGCTTTAAATGATTTCAGAGGATGAAAAAGGGTCTTATCAAGCGAAACGTTCGCTCAAATGACCAAATGACACGAAAAAAGATTTGTTCATTTTGATAAACGAGTTTGAACAGGAGAGTCACGAACGCTTCTTTAGATTTTTAGAAAATATAGCTGTGGTCATAGATAAAATCAGAAAGTGTTGTTTAAGAATTAACCTAATGACCTCATTTCAAAAAGAAGTTGCGCAAAAATCGGTTATAAGTGAGGTACTTTAAATGGAAGAGTGAAGGCGCCAGTGTTTAGAAGATTCATCAACAGAAATGTGTTTCGATCCAAATGTGATCCATTTTAGGTGTCATTGCAGGACAACAAAATTGTTCAGTTGGATAACTACCCAGTAAAGGCTATAAATAAGACATTAATTTTTTATTTCAAAGTCAGCATGAATGAAAATTCACCCGGTCTTTTAAATGCATCTTATTGTGAACAATGTATATAGCCTACATTTATTTTTTTTTATTTAATCAGTCTTCCAGTAAAAACATCAGACTTCTCTTTGCTGAGAGATACACCAGACTTCTCCAATCATTTAGTCCAACCCCACCCCTCCACAAATGACTGCAACAAAGTCACTGCCCTACTTTCTTTTATCATAGTCCGTTACACATTTGCATGTAGCCTACGTAGCCTACAATACAGAAGAAAACATTTCGCTACTTCTGTTTCATCATGACTTAACTCTCATTGTTTACATCTTGTGGCTATACTGTTGAAACCGTATAACATTTTGGATTGGCCTCATTCACTTTAATTTTTAACCCAGATTTTTTTTATTTTTTTATTTTTTTTTTTTAATGAAAGTAGGGACAAGTAATCAATTATGCCACACATGGGTTTGATTGAGCTGAACTCTGTTGAGCCAGGAATAATTATGGTCTGCCAACCTCAATCATTATGGTTGTGTTTGTGGACAGCACACTAGCTCCAGTATAATAAACACTGCCTCTTCAGGTTTCTACGATTAAATCAAAAAGGTTACCTGAAAATGACTATAAACAATATAAATAGACACTAAACTGATATTCCTTTAAGTCTCTGAAAGAAAATCTTTACTCTGAGAAGAGCTGTGACAAATTCTGAGGGACAAGAATTTGCAATGTATAGATGTTTTTATTCGGAGTGTGTTCGCTCTTTCATTTTAAAGAGCGCTTGATTAGACAGAATCCGAAAGGGAAAGGATTAGAGGATTATGGCGTGTTTTCCCTGGAGACGATCGGCCACGCTAGACCAGGCTAACATCCGTCACCGCCAAATTAATATGGGGCTCAGATAACAGGCACCAACACTTCTATCAGCACAGAGGAGTGTGTCCTCTCCATGAACCCGGCTTACTGTCACACATCTCATACGAGCACAAAGGCGATCATAAAGAGGTTTGAAATGACTTCGAGTCGACCCTAGACTATGAAAACTGCAGAAGCCATCTCAGTCTGTGTTGATGTGACACATTAACACGTCATGATAAACATACACACACACTAATACCCAACGACACACAAGGATAAAGATAACACCAACGCTAAATGTGAATATGTGCACATGCAGTCCTTCTAATGAGGTTTCGTTATATGTTTTTAAAACCACAAACATCTGTTGGTGCTGTTGGCTTCAAGGTATGAAGACAAACAAGCATAAGAACAGAAATGAATTGGGTTATTACTTTCATAAACGAGGAAATAGGTTGTCTTTAAACAAGCACAAATTAAGATTTCTAATGTAAAAAGTTTTTTTGGTCTTCTCTAACTTGTAATACTTGTCATGCAGGAAAAAGTTTCACCCAACACGTTATGCACTCCAACAGCTAAGTTGATGTGGTTTCCATCCATGTCACCATTATTGTCACTTGAGTAAGAGGTTGACAAATCAATGAATGTGTCAGATGTATGGCCTACAGAGGTGCTAGTTGTGTATTGTGAAAAAGGAAAGTGTTGACATGATAGTTGTTGCTTGGTCATATCAAAATATTTCTCCTGCACTCTTAAAAAAATACATTTCCTTAAAGTTGTTTTTTGCAGTAATGGCAACGAACCACCATTTTGGGTTCACCAGTGAACCTTACAGAGAACAGTTTTTAAAAGAACCATTTGTGTAAAGATCATTTAATAATCTATAGAACTGTTTTTCCACTATAAAGAACCATTCGTTCAATTTAAAGGTTCTATTGGAATTCATCATTTAAACTGACTAATTTTCATGTTCATACTGTGTGAGCCACGTGAATAGGCTATTTGTCAGAATGAGAAGTACTATAGGCCTATGTGTATATAATTGTCCTATAGTGCCATCTGCCATTAACAAAGCAGAAGTAAAACATCCCATAATTCACAGTAGGGGCTCAACCAATAAGAAAATAGCAGAAACTGGGTCACACAGCTGAGAGTCTATGAAAGAATGTGCATGGATGCAGTGTTGTGTAAGACCATGAACACACAATGTCTCAGTTACACTTCCTGGCTGCTGAGAAACTTTGTTGTTCAGGTATGAAGGGTTAACCTGAAATGGCCATCTCAGACTAAGCCTAGTCTAAAATGCATGTTTGAGCTTTGCTTTACTCTCTCGGGGTAAAACTTTTGTGATAGCCTGCAGATGTGAGATGCCAGAGGATTTAATATTTAAGTAAAATGAAAATTTAAACGTACTATTTTATCTGTATAGTTTGATATTGTTTGTACTTCTGCATACATATATATCTATACATATACATCCCTCATCCAATCATCCTTCTATAATGGATCAATATCATGGATAGAGATATAGCCGGAAAGAACTGCACAGTTTTGGAATACATAGTCATTTACAGTGATGAACAGTGATTAATGCATAGTAAACAACAACAAAAAAAAAAAAATCCAACATTGTTTGAGAAAGTCCAACAATATATTTATATACATATATGTATATTACTCCCTGTTTCCATTTCATTATATTTGTACACTTGGTGGCGCTATAACACTGCAAAAACCAACCTCGCTGTGAAAAAATAGTTTAAGCCTATCTAGGAGTTGTTGTTAAGGCTATGTTTCACAATGGTGCTATCTTTTAGCTTAAAAGACAGAGATTAAGGTAATATTAAGTTAGATTTGGTGACATAGACACTTGACAAATAACAAAACGTCAAATACTGTTAAGCTTTCGATTGTCATATTGTGTGTATGATCCCATATTGTAGTGAAATACATAGCAATATTTACACATGATTTAACAGTCTATTTTCCTAAATATCAAAAATTTAGGAAAATTTTGGTCTTATGTTTTCAAATGCAATTGAATGTAGAGACTTTTACATTCGTTTACGTTTTAAACGACGTTACGTTTACGTCATAACTTTAGAGGCGGTACCAACTTCCAGTTTCCTGATCTCTCTATTTTCACTGTACATGGTAACTTACAGTGTTCTTGTAAATAGGTGCAATTACTATACAACCTCTTATTGTTTGGCTGTTACTGTTCAGACATGTATGTTTGGAATCTCGCCGCATTTATGTGCTGTGTGGTAAGTCATGCCTTTAAACTATTCAATTCTAACGTTAGATATCTGAAAAAAAAAAAAAACATTATGGGCGCTACATCGACTATTTTACCAGGGGAATACGGGAATTTATGGAATTGGTTTGGCTATTTTTAACTGATTTGAATACAATCAACAAATATAGTAGATTATTACCTACAATTTAATGTCGGTTTGGTTGAAAATAGTATAATTAAATTGTATAAGTTACTAACATTAGTTTCACTTTCGATTTCCCGGTATTCTGAACCTATTTGAGGTCCTCACTTTTTCCAACTAATAACAAAAGATATATATTTTAAAAAATATTTCAATTAGAAAATATAACTTTAATTTCTCATTTTATCTGTAGGTTTAAAATGCATTTTTTTTTCGTGTGTCAGATGTTCGCTTTAGGGTTAACGGGAGACAGGCGCATGCGGAAGAGACGCAACACGTGTGATCATGGGACTTACCAGCATGAGGGAATCACTTGCTGCCTTTGTCCAAGAGGTATAAGCTTTGTTAAGACCTTATTTTTGTTAGCGAGGTAGACTTCGTGTCTTATTCCACATCAAAAGTGTAATAGGGTCTGGGAAGGGTTAGGTTAATGTAGGGCTACATACAGCAGGGCTTTATATTTATGTTTTCTTAAGTGATTTTATTTTTCAAAACCATTTTTGTTTCCACAGACAGTGAGAGACCTGAAAGTAGCGTTGTCATGGGCAACGGATAAATAAAAATTTTAGCAGCTAGTAGATATTTGACTACACTTATTGACTAATCAGAATCAAGTATTTCAGAGAACCATGTAATTATCTTTAAAAGTAGTAGTAAAGGTAATAGGATGTTCTCAAATGTTTGTATTTGTGTGTGTTACAGGTTACCGAGTCTTGAATGACTGCACAGGTCAAAGAAAGACAAATTGTACTCTGTGTGAGTCGGAGACCTATTCGGACCACCCGAACAATGATTACAAATGCCAGCCTTGTAAAATATGCGATTCTAGCGGTAGGTGTTAACATCTTATCCTTGTTAGTTTACTCAGGTTAATGGTTATTTTGTGAAAATGTTTGTGATTGCTTATTATAAGCCCATTCAGAGTGGCCATTTTTCATTATACTATGTAATAAACATGCAAATTTAACAAATGAACAGTAGCCAGTGACCATAACCAATTATAATGTACTGATGCTTTTCTGACATTATTTGTTGCATCTGTGCTTTGTGCCGTACAGGCGAACACACAAATCAATTTTTGAAACCGAATTGTAAATTGAGGACTCAGTGCATCATAATTCATCGTGATATCGAATTGAACTAAAATCCATTACATGATAATCGTAATCAAACCAAACCTTGAGACCAGTGTGGTTCACACCCCTATTGAAAACCAAACTTTTCAAAATCAAATAAATTAAACACTTTAAATAAAAAAATCAAATAAATTAACACACTGGGGAGAACCAGTTCTAATTTCTCAAATGCAATTTGTCATTCATTGCAATATTTCAATTTTCAAACTTTTGTTTTTGCTCATAAGCTATTTAAAAGATCTTTTGGAGACCTTCTCACAATCTCAGATCCATGGATACAAATAAAACATTTCTATGTCGTACCCTTTTGGTGATGACAGCATGTGGTTTCAAAAGTTTAAAATTAGATTCATTGTTCTCTTACGAGAGGTTCTCTCGTATTGCGTAAGCTAGCTTACGCTACGGGAAAGATTCATCTTTGCTGAGAAGTTGAAGCCAAAAAATTATTCCATAATTTTGTAATCATTGTCAACGCAGTCTCTTCTGAGGCAGACCATGAGCGGGCTAGCTAGCGGCTCATTGGTTCGCTCAGAGAGAATGCACGAACCTATGGGAGAGCGGCGCTGAGTCCGCGGCCAATGAGCGGACGGCGCTCGCTTACTGCGTCACAGCCCGCCAAACGGGGCGTGGCTACAGTGTATAAAGGTCGCTCTCCCAGCTCGTTCGTTGATTCTTATTCATTCAGCGAGCTACACGCATCCGCTGTCCTGGGAAGAAGCCGCCGTCGTTGAGAAGGCACCGTCTAGCGAGCTCCGGAGTCTGAGGAAGCCGGCCGTCTGCCACCTTCAGCCGCCCAGCAAGCTAGCGCCATCCGACGCGTATCCTTTTTACTATTCCATATTCCTAAAAGAGCCGAGCGTCTTTTTCAAGATGCCTCGAATTTCCTGCGGCTCATGCCGCTCTTCACTCGAGGAAGGAGACCGCTTCTGCGTTCTCTGTTTCGGAGTGGAACACGCAGAGCTCGCCCTCGCCAACGGAGGATGCGACCACTGCGAGGACCTGCCTCCGTCTTCCCTGCGGGCTCGACTACAGGCAATCAGAACCGCTCCCGCGCCGCCTCTCACTTCGCCGCGGAAGAAGAAACGCCGCTCCCAGAGGCCGCCGGAGCCCCCTGCGGATCCATGTGGGCCGCCGCCGCCGCCCACCGACCGCTCTCCCTCTCCGCCCCTGCCGGACTTACAGTTGCCGCCGAATGGCCGCTCTGTCGCCTCCGACGACACCGCGGATGAGAAGGACTCTTGTTCGCTGCACCCTTCTGACAGCGAGGATTGGTCGTCGATCGGCTCATCGACGAGAGAGTCTGCGGGGACCCGCGCCGGCATCGAGGAGGAACTATCGCGCCTCCTTTCGCAGGCCATCTACCGCCTGGGTCTCGAGTGGTCTCCTCCCCCCGAGCAACCACCGAACCGGCGCCCGGCCCCCGCCTGCAGCCGGGCTGCACCATTCCTGCCTGAGCTTCACTTCGAGCTCACTAAATCCTGGAATGCCCCTCTTTCGGCTCGTATCCGCTCCGAGGGGTCCGCTTCGCTCAGTGGACGGAGCCGCCGAGATGGGTTATACTGCCATGCTGCCCGCGCCTTTGACGCCGCCGAACAGGCCGCCTCAGCGCTGCATTCCATCCAGGCGCCCCAGAGCGACATCTTGTGCGAGATGGCGAACAGCGGTAGGAACCCGCCCATCCTTTCGGATCTGAGAAGCGCGACGGATCTTTCCCTTCGCGCCACTAAAGCCGCCGCACAAGCCTTGGGAAAATGCATGGCCGCCCTCGTTGTCACTGAGAGACACTTGTGGCTCACGCTCACCGATATGGGAGATTCAGAACGCGCCCTGTTCCTCAACGCGCCTATATCTCCTACCGGGCTCTTCGGATCTGCCGTCACGGGCATCGTTGACCGCTTCTCCGAGGTACAGAAAGCGACTCAGGCCATGAATCTGTTCTTGCCCCGCCGCTCTAGTTCTTCGACAGGCCGCTCTCACGAGCCTCCTGCCAGAACCCCACAGCAGCGCCCGCCTCAGCAAGCTCAGCAGCGCCCGCCTCAGCAAGCTCAGCAGCCCCAGCGTAGACAGGGCGGCCGCCCTCGCTCAGACAGCCGCCGCAGACAGCCTCCTCCCAGGGGGCCTCGACCCAAGATCGCGCTGAGGCCCGATCAACTGAAGTCTGCCTAGCACAGCTGAGAAAAGGACGGCTTTCTCCCGCTGCGGCCGGATCGCCGTAAAAGCTTCGCCCACTGTTAGTCCCCGTTTCACCGCTGACTGCAGTAGTGTTTACCGCCACAAACAAGCCGGTTTCCCTGCCCGCTTGCGAGCGTCTAAATGCCGTTTTCACGGCTACCCAGAGAGTTCACAAAAAGAGCATAAAAGCCTCAAGTGTAATAAATGTGCCCACAAGCATGTGCTCACGTACACACACAAGCACCTTATGCCCAGGGTCTCACAGAGCCCATTCTCACGGAGCGAGCACTTTCCGCTCCAGTAGCAGAGAACATAAGCACGCCCACGAGCCCGTGCGCGTGTCCCCCCTCTGCCCGCTCTGTCACACGGCCCATAAAACTCCTCTCTGAGTGTAAGTCCCGTTGCCACCCACATTATAAGCGTGCCCACACACAGTGTCCAGCCCGCGATGTGCAGCAATCAGGGCGAAATCGCCATTCAACCGCTTACGAAGCGTGGGAAGCCATCCCCGGCATCTCCCCGTGGGTTTTTAGCATAATAAAGAATGGTTATCGATTACAGTTTCGTCGCCGCCCGCCACGCTCGCGCGTGCGGCTCGAATCCACTGTCAGCCGCCCGCTATGAACACGCTTCGCTTAGAAATAGCCAAGCTACTGCAGAAGGGCGCTATAGAGAGAGTCCCACCATCTATGACCGAGTCGGGGTTTTTACGGCCGTTATTTTCTGGTTCCCAAGAAAGACGGCGGCCTCAGGCCGATCTTAGATCTCAGGGCTTTGAACAAAGCGCTCATTAAGAGTCCGTTCAATATGCTCACAGTCAGGAAACTCCTCGCGCACGTCCGCCAGGGGGACTGGTTCATCTCTCTAGACCTGAAAGACGCCTATTTTCAGATCCAGATAAGCCCTCATCACAGGCCATTCCTACGTTTCGCCTTCGAGGGCCAAGTTTATCAGTATGCCGTTCTCCCGTTCGGCCTATCCTTAGCACCCCGTACGTTCACGAAGTGCATGGATACAGTGCTCGCCCCCCTGCTAAGTCAGGGGCTGCGCATACTGAATTATCTGGACGACTGGCTGATTCTAGCAGATTCCCAGACGGAGCTGCTGTCGCACCGCACAGTTCTCCTCAACCATCTGGAAGCGCTGGGACTCTCTGTCAACTGGACAAAGAGCTCTCTCCAGCCCAGTCAAACTATTTCGTTCCTTGGAATAGATTTGAACTCTATCACGATGACGGCTCGCTTATCCACACAGCGCGCGCGCCGTGTTCAGCGACTGGCCGCCTCGTTTCAGATGGGTACCCATACATCCCTGAAATCGCTTCAGAGGATGCTGGGTCATATGGCTTCAGCCTCCGCTGTGCTACAGCTGGGTCTTCTGCACATGCGCCCCCTTCAACTCTGGTTAAAGAGCCGCGTATCCCACCACGAGTGGACGACGGGCCGCCAGATGATCAGGATTACTCAGACATGTATCACTGCACTGCAGCCATGGGCAGTAAGCGAGTGGTTTCAGAGGGGCGTTACCATGGGAACCTTCTCTCGCCGGAAAGTTATCTCGACAGACGCATCCAACTCGGGTTGGGGAGCGGTTTGCGAGGGCTCACCGGCCGCCGGCCAGTGGTCGAGCCACGAGAGTTCCTTACACATAAACTGTCTGGAAATGATCGCGGTCGAGAACGCGCTGCTGTGCTTCCTCCCGCGCATAAACGTTCACCACGTCCTGATTCGCTCCGACAATATGGCCGTGGTATCATACATCAACCGTCAGGGCGGCGTCAGATCCAAGAATCTCTTCATCTGACACGCCGCATCCTATTGTGGTCCCAGAGTCACCTGCTATCGCTCAGAGCGACGCACGTGCGGGGCCATCTGAACGACGGTCCAGACAGGCTGTCCAGGAACCTGGTCTCCCCCGGAGAATGGTCCCTGCACACTCAAACAGTCCTAACACTGTGGCGCCTATTCGGCAGAGCGGAGATAGATCTTTCGCGTCAGAAGAGAACGCTCACTGCCCAATATTCTTTCAAAGAGCGAGGACGCGCTAGCCTAGGATTGGCCCCGCCGCCCGCTCTATGCTTCCCCCGATTTCTCTGCTACCGCAGGTCATTCAGAGAATCAGGGACTCACGCCACTCGGTGCTCCTCATAGCCCCGCGCTGGGAGAATCAGATTTGGTTCCCGGAGCTAACGCGGCTGTCACAGACAGCCCCGTGGCCCATTCCAATCAGAACAGATCTCCTCACTCAAGCCCGCGGCTCGATCTGGCATCCCCATCCACAGCGCTGGGCGCTTCATGCATGGGTGACCAACGACTACGCGTCGAATTGCCAGAAGGGGTTTTGAACACGATCAAACACGCCAGAGCGGATTCTACCAGAAAGCTCTATGCTGCAAAATGGTCTGTGTTCTCCAAATGGTGCACCGACAAGAATTTGGACCCACGGACGTGCGAGGTTTCGTCTTTGCTAGTGTTCCTTCAGGAGATGCTGGATAAGGGCAGGTCCCCATCCACTCTTAAGGTTTACGTGGCAGCCGTCGCGGCGTTCGTTGAACCCCGGCGCGCCCAGTCTCTGGGCAAAGACGAGCTAATCATCCGCTTCCTCAGGGGAGCCAGAAGGATGAACCCCCCTCGCCCCCTACGGTGCCGGTCTGGGATCTTTCTACAGTTCTAGAAGCTCTGAAAGCCCCACCGTTTGAACCACTTGAGTCCGTGGAGCTAAAATACCTCTCGTAAAAAAACGTTCTTCTGACGGCTCTCGCCTCAGTAAAACGTGTGGGGGACATTCACGCGCTGTCTTCGAGCGCCGCGTGCCTAGAGTTTGGACCGAGTGACTCCTTAGTCATTCTAAAGCCTAGACACGGTTATGTTCCAAAAGCGATTGGTACCCCTTTCAGGGCGCAAGTGATCTCTCTATCGGCGCTGCCTGCATCCGATAGCGAACGTGACGCTGACCGCCTCTGCCCGGTTCGGGCTATCAGAGTGTACACTACACGCGTTGCCGCGTTCAGACGCTCGGAGCAGCTGTTTGTGTCGTTCGGTGGCCGCACCAAGGGACTAGCCGCCTCGAAACAGACCCTATCCAGGTGGATAGTAGACGCGATTGCCTCTGCTTATGCCGCTAAAGACCTGCCTTGCCCTCTGGGCATCAGGGCTCATTCCACCAGAGGCATGGCCTCATCGTGGGCATGGTCCTGCGGGATTTCCATCCACGACATTTGTGTGGCTGCGGGATGGGCCTCCCCCTCCACTTTTGTCAGTTTTATAACTTGGAAGTTCCAGCCTTACAGGCTAAAATTCTGGCGGTCTAGTACTCACAGCCCTCCTATAGAAGCCGCACTATCGGGAGTTCCATCACAACCGGCTCACCCCTTGTGTTCCCCTATGTGCTTATGCATTAGCCTACACATCACGGCCCGCCTTCGCCGGCCGCCTTGGGCGTTTTTGCACTAGATGATAACGGCCGCTATGTTGGCCGCCGTATTATCTTCATCCACTTATAGATTCCCGCGGTGTTCCCCTGGGATGCTTAGTGGTTACTTAGCCCGCACGGCGTTGACCAGGTGTTCCCGTAGCGTAAGCTAGCTTACGCAATACGAGAGAACCTCTCGTAAGAGAACGAATCGGTTACCTAACGTAACCTCGGTTCTCTCTAGATGAGGGAACGAGTATTGCGTTCCCGGCCGTGCTTGCGCCACTAGCGTTTCGCTTCATGCTACAGAATCAACGAACGAGCTGGGAGAGCGACCTTTATACACTGTAGCCACGCCCCTTTTGGCGGGCTGTGACGCAGTAAGCGAGTGCCGTCCGCTCATTGGCCGCGGACTCAGCGCCGCTCTCCCATAGGTTCGTGCATTCTCTCTGAGCGAACCAATTAGCCGCTAGCTAGCCCGCTCATGGTCTGCCTCAGAAGAGACTGCGTTGACAATGATTACAAAATTATGGAATAATTTTTTGGCTTCAACTTCTCAGCAAAGATGAATCTTTCCCGTAGCGTAAGCTAGCTTACGCAATACTCGTTCCCTCATCTAGAGAGAACCGAGGTTACGTTAGGTAACCGATTCGTTTTTATTGAATCCAGAAAATTACCTTTAAATGAAATTTTTTTTTTCTCTAGCCATTATGTTTCTTTGGGACACGTTGTGCCCTATATTTACTTTTCCATAGAATTCTGTATAGTCCATAATCTGTTCTCAACAAAAATACATGCTTTTACCACTATCAAATCCAGTCCCAGTGTTTTACCTGATTGGTGAGTCAATCTCTCACTATTGCTATTCTGCTATTGAACTTCCTGTATCAGGGCAGCTGGACTGGTCCCTATTGGAAGCAGATTCAAAGTGTTAGTTTGAGAAAGATGAAGAATTGCTGAAACCAGTGGATAATCAAAGACAATAATCAAGTTACTATGATAATTAACTAAATTTGAAACGTTCTCTGTAGTGATCAATAATGCAGCACCTGGTGCACAAGTGAGTGGATGGAAGTCTTTATTTCCTGTGTGGATTGTCGTTCAGTTGACTTGTTCATGTTTCATCATCAGGCTGCAATGACACTCTCGGTCTGGCTTTGATCCACCCTGGCACAAAATTCCATAATGCATGACACAAATTGTCTTTAGGAAAAGTCACTGTCACCTCAAGTGAACTGTCCATTTCCTCACCACTTCCTCCTCTTCTATCTCCAGTCATTCAATCATTCAAGGTGTCTGAAACCCTGAACACTCTGAACACTCAGAGAACTGCAAAACTCAAATTAAACTTAGTTTAATAACTAAAAATCTCATCTGGTATCAATACAGCAGTTCTTCACTTTATTAAAAAGCGTTCTTCATTGCGCGGAAAAAAGCAAGCATTTCTTCTTTGCAAAGATGCAGGAAAAAACTCTAATTATAATACAGTTTTTTTAATGCCCCTTCTTCGTCTTTTTTTCTCTTCTTCAAGAAACCAAAATAAAATGACTGTAAGATAAATGTTATGTGCTTGTTCAAATCACAATCTATATCTGAACTGGTCACCCCACCTCATTCTCATACTATGCATAATGCACATGCATCTTTGTTCAACATAAACCATTGACTCTTAACATTTCTGCAATGGATACACTTAATTTCCCCACACTGTCTCCCAGGGATCAAAAATGTCCTAATTCCCTCAGAATGCATATTTCTATTGTTATGTTTTATAATTGTAACAATTTCTGCCTTTTTAAAATTTATCTATTGATCTGGTTTCAACATTTCTAATTTCTAATTTTCTCTCTTATTATTCAATCATAATTAAAGTCTCTTTCAAACAAAAGCAAGTTTCATTTGGATACTCCATAGCATCTCGGGCTATTTTCCTCCCGATTCTGATTTCTAGCATGACAAGTTGCTATTTTCATGAACTTGGTTGCATTGACAGCTTACTGGAAGCACTCTCACTCTCTACAAATATCAATTTGATTGAATTTAACCAAAATCATTGCCCTTACTAGCTAAGGTAAAAACATAATTTATAGCCTAAATCTTTTAAATGTGATCAGCAGTTTTCAAAATTGTACTTTACAGAAAAGCCAATTTTCAGTCAAACCTTTTAATTAATTGCATTATATTTAGAAGCATTTTTTAAAAGGAAAAGTGCCCTACTTTAGTACTTTTAGCCCGCCTGGAATGGGTCTCTCTCTGTCGAACAGGGTTCTGCAGTCTGGCAGAGGGAAGACAATGTGGTTCCTCGTCCCCGTCCATCCGACAGAGGGAGATTCCGAGGACTTTTGCAGATTGCTTACACTCAAACCCCAATTAAACCCATATTTCTCTATATTCATGGTACACTTTGATGCCACCACGTTCCATTTTTCTAAATCATATAATTATAAATTGCTTTCGAGAAATCCACTGTCCTTAAAGACACTTTACTATTAGAATTACCCAGTTTTTTCCGCACTAAAATAGCCCTTTTCAGAGCCCTTTTCCCCATTTCTCTTATTCAATTTGCTCAACAGTATTTATATTTGCGTATTTAAATCTTTCCCCCATGTGGTCACCACGCTCTCTATTCACTGTATTAATTTTTTCCCCCGCGTGGCCACCACGCACTGCCTTTATTCGTCAAAAAAGGACTTTCAAATTGCCTGCATCCGTCGATGAAGGTCTTTCCCAAAAAAGTGCCTCTGTACTGTTCGAAAAATGACTGTCAGGCTTATTTCGAACAGGCACCCATCTGGTGTTCGAGAAATGGGAAAACAATTAATACATTCTATTTGAGAAAATTTACTATCAGGCTTATTCCAAACTCTGAGCCTTTTAGGAAAAGTATTCAATATGCAAATAATTTTCTTATTTACCACGTAAATAATTTTCTTCTCACCGTCTCTTGATGACCTTGTGAGTTCACTTCTAGGAGTGCGTCACCTCGGTCGTCGTGATGAGTAGAACAATTCTCTCTCCTTAAGATTGAGGATTTTGAACCGCAGAGTATATTAATCTGTGGGATGATCAGTCAATCAGTCAATTCCCTCCTCACGCCGATCGTCGGTTCAGCATCCCATCCTCCCCGTCGCCATTTTGTTGTGGAAATAATTCTGTTCGAAAACGTAGGAGGAAGAAGACAAGTGGAAAACCTCTTAAAAGTCCAAGTATCAAAAGTTTATTTCTTGCAAGAAATAAAATTGAAATGGCATTCAACATACAGACAGTGTCTACATGTGAAGGCCAAGGCTTGTCCCTTTTCGCCCAGGTTATATACCCTCAACACAGGAAATAATTCTATGTAGGCTGCATCTGGTTCGCAGAAGATTGTTCCCTACCCAGCCTTAAAAGGAAACATGTTGATGTCGCCTTGACTCATTTTCGTTAACCATATATTCATTTTAGACGGCACAATGACGTCTTCGTTAAAGTTTCCTGCGTTTAGCTGCTGTTTGACTTCACACCCCAACTACTGTTCGACCTCACACCTTATCTCTCATTTGATCAAAACCCTGCACACATACATTTCACACTCGAAATACAATGAGCTAATAAAATGTTTCCATGCTGCTTGGTCCTTTGTTATCTTCTACAGAACAATATGTTCTGAAACGAAGCTTACTCTAACTTATGCATTTCTACCAGCTTGTTATAGCTTTCATAATGTCCTTTGGATTATATGAACATCTTCCTTTATATGCTTATGAGTACATCTTTTTCAACGTTAGTAAAAGTTACACACATCTAAAACATCTAATAAAATAAAAGAAAACATATGGAAGAAAATAAAAGAACACATATAAAAGAAAAGAAACATGTAAATGTAAAAATTAGCCATCACACCAGTCAACCACAAGTTTCTAATGCCAGAGGTGGTACTGTTGTCAAAGGGTTGTATGGTGCATCTTGAAGCTCAAATCGAAGGATGGGCAAAAAGTCTAATTTGCGCTTTGTCTCCCTGCTTTAGCTAAAATGGAGGACAAAGAGAGATGTTCGCCGTTCAACAACACTGTCTGCCGGTGTCAGAAGGACTATTACTGTCCCCAGGGTGACCAGTGTAGGATCTGTAAGCCTTGTGACATGTATGTAGTCAGCCAAAGACCCTTTTCTTTCTGGACAGAATGATAGATGTGTGTGTGAAGAGAGTTATAATGTGAGTTTTAATGGAGACCATGTTCCCTGTAAAAAGCTGTCTGCAGATGCACACTTATTTTGCTTCCTTACAAATCACAAGAAAAAAGTCAGACTCCGAAACGTGTGTGTGGGAAAAAAACATGTCAATTTGATTTTCACTGCGAAACTGAAGCTGTGTGTGCTAATTCCTCAGTCACTGAAATAGAGATGGATGCAGGCATTATATGTGGCCAAAACAAAAAGCCTTGTCTTTTAACTATCTATTTGTTTATAACTTTTCCCCTCATAATCTCAGCATGTTTTTTTATTTTATTTTTTTATCTTAAATAGACAAGACAGAAAAATAAACAATTAAAATCCTGGAAAAATTGTCCTTAACATTTGAATAATAAATATTTTGTTATTTTTTTGTTTTTATTTTCTGTGTAAAATGAATCGTGCTTAAAGAGGGAGTTGACAAGGGCTTCACTTTTCTGATGTGCTGGGTGTTTCTGCTCTGACCAATATATATTGATTTTATACATTGTTTTTTTTTTATTTATAAAAGGTTTGCTAAGCAAGAAAAAAAGTTAGAGGGAACATTGAAGACCCAGTTGCTTCAAAATCAGAATTTTTGTTTTAGCATTCAGCATTTCATAAGCTTTATATTTTGAAAATTTGCTTCCAGCTCAGTATTCAGTCTTCACCCTGTCGTGTTCATGTTTATCCAACAGGTGTACAGAAGTGGAAACAAAATGCACAGAAACCAACAATACAGTGTGTAAAGATACAACAACGTCAAATGGCATGTATATCCACAAGCTACACACATCCACAGGCATAGCCAAGGGATAAGTTGTTAAAATGCTCCTGTTCCAAGTGCTCTTCTCTATACACTCACACAGTATAAGAGTAACTGGAAATGTACTCTAAAGCTTATGCTGGTTAAACACAAAGTACAGTAGAGGGGGTGGTAATGTAGAAATATCTATGGTTGCTTCTGTTCCAGGGATCATTGCAGCTGCTGTTTTGGTTCCGTTATTCATAATCGTAGTGGTTCTCTTATATTTTTGGAAACAAAAAAAGGACAAAAAGAGAAGAGACAAAGTGCCTAAGGAAGAGGTAATTTATCTTTGTTTAATTGTTCATGACACCCTTGTTGTGTTACAGTGGAACTGCATATTAGTTTTGTGTGTGTATTTCAAAACATTTGTGCCTGATTTTTTTGTCTTTCTTTTTTTTCATATAGGTACCCCTGAAAGGCAAGTGTGCTTTTTCTTTTCATTTACATAAAAAATGATCACATCACACAAATCAATTTTAGCATTAAACTATACTGTCCCAAATTATGGTAACAGGATTGCAAATCCTTGTATTAAAGGTATCATGGCATGAGACATTAAATTTGCTCTTTACCATTAAAACAACCTGCAAGTTTCGTAACTTAAAATGCCTCCATCTTTTCAAACAAAGCATTTATTTTACCAAGGTGTGGGATCTGTGATATCATATGGGCAAATACATTTAGCATCTGACTGCATAGAGCAAGACATTGACGAATCATCGACATCATCGCACTACAAGCCACGCCCACTGCCAATCATTTGCTTAATGCCTGACGTCCATTATAATCACTGCAACGTCTACACTAAATACAGATGCCTGTTTAATCACTGACATACTGTACTCCACGTGCCTGAGTCTGCTGACAACAGGTCAAATGGAAGTGTAAACAATGTGTCCCGTTTAAACGGCTTCTTTGCGTTTCTGGACAGCTGTCAGAAGGACACCTGCGTGGGGTCCCGGATTTTGTTTGCTCTGAGCGTTTGACTGTAGATTATTTTGTAGGATCATTACACAGAGGCACGGTGTAATGGAGAGTTGGCAAAGTAATTTTTGTTGAAAGATGAGTCGACATCCGTAGCAGTACATCACGATTCATAAGTAAACAATTTGATGATGCTTAATCAGTATTATACGGATAATGCTTTCAAAACACTTACTCTAGTGTAATAATGAGTGGGAATTTGTTTTGTCAATGGAATGAAATTAGTATAATGAACAAGACACCCAAAGTACTTATTTAATTCCATTTTAAATAGCTACGTCTTTAATACAGATGTGTATTTATAAAAATAAAATAAAATAAAAACTATTACATCACATAGATCGCACTGACCAAGGAGTATTAAAGCTGTTTTCAGCAAGTCGTTTGCCATTGTCCTTTTGATCAGCGCAGTCGGTGGAGAGCAACAGCGCGCGACTGCAGAATCCGACATGCGCAAGGTCGTGAGAGTTTTTGGATCTGAGCATTGCGATTTCAGTTTTATTTAACATAATTATCTTTTATTATTTAGGACGCACTGATTGAAAGCCAGAATACATATCTTGAGAGCCAAGCTAGAGTATTGCAGGAAGCCATGGAAAGTTATAAATGAATGATGCGTGTTCTGCACTTGAAAATATTTTTCTCCACAAAAGGGGGGCCTGCCAGAAAAAGTTTAGGAAGCACTGGTTTAAAAAATAGCAGCATAAGAATTTAAATCAGTGATGATGTTTTTTTTTTTTCCATGTAGATTTGGACCTGAACCCTTACCTGTCAGAAATTGCTGATCATCTGGGCTGGAAAGTGATGAAACGTGTTGCCCTGCACAGTGGCATGAATAAAGCTGTTATTGACAATCACGAGTGTAACCACCCTAATGATGCGAGAGAACAGACCTATGGACTTCTGCAGGAGTGGTCCCAAAAACAAGGTTTATATGAAGCCTACCCAGCTCTCATCAGAAATCTTCATGCCATAAATGAAAGAAGAACAGCAGATGAGATAAAGAAAATTGTTGAAAAAGCTCAGCCATAGACTGCACAAGAGATGTACTTCATTTTTAGCATTGAGTATTGCACTTTACTGTGTCAAATTTTAATTATAAATAACAGACATATTGTTCGTTTTAAAGGTTGTATCAGCGATTGTGGGTAACGTCACTTCTGTTTGTGTTTGAAGCAAGATCCCAAACAAAACAAGTTAGCTCGCCCCTCTCTCCTGTTTCGTGCATCATGAAAAAAAACATCATGTACGTGCTTTTCTTAAAGCGACAAAAACACACTATTTTCAGATTGATGTCTACCTCAATGATGGCTCATTCGGTGAACTGTAAAATGTGAACTAGGCTGCTTTGGATTACAAAGCATAATGATGTATATAAACATCATTTGGCTACAATGTTGCGGCTACAAGTAGAAGCAACTCACACACTAAATCCCTACAATCTGATATTCGCTAAAGCTATCCAAGTTTAGTCGAGCTTCACTCATATTTTTTTTTAAGAATTATATTTTCACACACATCTCACATACAAAAAAGTCAGCACTAGAAGCTACTCCTGTCAAGAAGAAACGGTGCAACCTCGGCCACCGATTTAAAAATGTTCAATTCTTTGAGTTCTCTCCAACGTTTAAAAGCCTTCCCGATTATTATTGTTTCTTTTTAACGAAAAACGACGGTATTTCCTCGCCCTAATTTTTGTTTGGGCTTGAAATCACTGATACAACCTTTAAGTTTCATATTGAGAAATGTGTTCTGTATGAAAACACCATGAGAAAACACCTGGTTTATTATAGGATGCCCCAAAATAGGTCAGTTTAGACAATTTGCAAACAGAAAGTCAAACAATCAGAATAATTCAGTCTTTCATTCAATTTCAGTTTCATTTCTTTTTCACTCAGTAAACCTCCAGCCTGACTTTATTAACTTGTAAGTTAACTGTTTTAATTATGTTTATCATAGGTAGGCTTTCAGAATTGATTATATCTTTGTTTACAATGTTACAGTCTGAATATGCACTGTAAAAAAAAAAGTTGAGAACTTAAGTTTAAGGCAACCAGCTGCAGAACATTTTTGAGTTTTCTCAACTTAGGGTCATCATTATTTCTACAAACTTTTTCATGTTAAATAGTTGAATAAACAAAATGTTTTTTTCAAACAAAATGTAAGTTGGGTTTTTTACAGTGTGGATAACTTCCTTTGAAATGTTGAAAGGCATGTTTCATTTGTTAATATTTAACAGCTAAAATGAACTCAATGTTTGACTAATATTAACAAATATTAATAAAAACTGTAACAAATGTATTGGCATTGTTAAATATTAATAAAAACTGTAACAAATGTATTGGCATTGTTAATCTTAAATTAACAATGCCAATACATTTGTTACAGTTTTTTATTAATATTTGTTAATGTTAGTCAAACATTTTGAGTATATGTTTATAATAATATATAATAAACCTTCTTCCTCATAAGCATAAAGAAACTCTTTAGATGCAGGTTTAAGTGTTAGTGCTAATTATTGGATCATATATTCGAGAAATGTTTAGTCATTTGGTATTGATAAAACTATGTGGGTGTGACCGACTTTATTTCTAGTTGGCTGTTGAGGTGGTTGAATGGATTTGTATTTACCATATTATATTTAAAAAAAATTGATAACATTTAACAATAAGCTCGGTCACACCCACATATTATTATCAATATCAAATTACAAAACATTTCTCGAATATATGATCTAATAATTATCACTGACACCTAAATGCTCTAAAGAGTTTCTTTATGTTTATGAGGAAGAAGGCATGGGCATAGAGTTTATCACAGTCATTACATAAACTACACGTCATTGAAGTAAAAAAAAAAAAAAAAAAAAACGAAACCTTAGACAGAATAGAAACAGAACAATCACAAAAGTTCCAAAATCAACTGAGCAGGTCAAGTAAATCTTATCAACAAAACTAAAAAAAAAAACTAGTCAGAAATAAAAGAGAGGCATGTTTATTCTTGTATTTGAGACATGTAGCTACTGTAAGCAACACATCTGTATATCCAAGTTTCAGGAATGAAAGTCTCAAAGGAAAGCAGTTGTGAAAGTATTTTCCATCTCATATGTGAACAATACGTAGTTATAACTAAATGCAATAAGCATGATCCAGCTCAAAGAAGTTTTTTTTTTACTTCAGTCGAAACAATGAATAGTTATTGGAATCTACAGTCCATTACACAACAAAATATAACACTGAATACAGTATTTTGACTAGAGATTTAAGATGGGAATTAAGATAGTTGTCCTATTTTCATGTTTTTCTTAATTTTCTACACTTCATTAAAGTAAAAAAAAAAAAAAAAAACGAAACGAAACCTTAGACAGAATAGAAACAGAACAATCCTGAGCTGACGTGTCTAATGACTGTTAAGGTAGATAAGAAGATGATTTTATGAGCGTGATCATTATAAATACAAAAAAAAATCTCTCAACAACTCACACAAAGCTCAAATCAGCATTGCTAGAAGGACCAAACCAGACCACCACTAACCATTATTATGGAGTAAGTACTTTTCCAATCAAATATGAAAAAAAAAATATCTGTAAAGTAGGAATTTAAAGTGATTGACTAAACTCAAGATTGTGTAAAAATATTGTGGCTCATTTGAAACTGTTGATAATCTGTCCCATGACTGCTACGATATATTTGTATGTAAACCAAAACACACAGCATTTGTAACTCTTTATTAATAGATCTTTATTTCTGAATGTGTCAGTAACTCTAGTCTAAAACAACGTCTTGAGAGGCTGGACTGCCACTTCACCTGGGATCTGGAGTGCAGTACAAATGAACTCCAGAATTTTCTGAGAAAGCTGGAATATTTGGACCAGAAAACATGCACTTGGCTGGTTCACTATTACAACCTGCTGGGCTACATCCATCAGACTCTTGGCTCCAACACAGAGGCAGTGAAGCATCTGCACAAAGCAGAAAGTGTGATCCAGGAGCAGGGAACAGAAGAGGCAGGAGCCCAGTTTCTGGTCAACAAAGCAAACCTAGCTTGTGTCTACTTCCATTTGGGAGACATGGATAAAAGCAAAGGATATCTAGAAGAGGTGGAGAGACTTCAGCGAATGCACCCTGCTCCACCTGGATGCACTTTACACCCTGAAGTCAGTGGAGAGAAGGGCTGGACGCTGGTGAAGCTTAACAAGTCCAACAAGTGCCAGGCGGTTGATTACTTTAAGATGGCTCTAAATGCAGAACCAGATAGGAAGGAATGGCACAAAGGACTTGCCATAGCCATGAACGCGGAATTTGGATCTGAATTCACTCCAGATGAGATTGTACAGCAACTGAAAATTGCAAATGAAAAAGAACCAAATAGTTTGTTCATTTATTCTCATTGGCTAAAACTGTGCAAAGAGAAAAATGTGAACATTGAAAAGGAGATGCAAGGTTTATTCGAAAGAACTCTTGAAACTGGAAACCTGGAGTGTTTGCATGTTATTCTTAGGTATTTTAGTGAACAGGATTTTGATAAAGGTATTCAAAAAGCAAAGGAAGCTCATGAAAAGTTCCCCTCTTCAGCTAAAGTTTTGAAACAATTGGCAGACTGCTACAAATGGAAAGTTTACAAAATGGCAGACAGCGAGGAAAGGGAGACTTTGGCTAGGGAATCCATTAAGCTCTATGAGAAGGATCTTACATATAATCCTGACTCATACAAATTAAAGATAGACATTGCATCACTGCATTGTTACACACATGAAATTGAGAAGGCAGATGAGATTTACAACAATCTCCTGTCAGAGGAAAATGATAGTTCTCCTCATAAACAACAGTACATATTTTATAATTATGCCCAACATCTAAATCATAATAAATTACAAACCAGAGATTCAGTCCCCTTTTACATGAAAGCAGCAGAAATCCCAGTTTCAGGATGCAAACAAAAGAGTATAAGATTCCTTCAAAACATTGTGAGGAGGGGCACAGACCCTCGCTGTGTGGAAATTCGGCATTTTCTGAATGGAATTAATTCTGATTAAAATCTGCTCTAATGCATCAGACAAGTCATACATCAATCCTCAAAAATCATTATGGAGGATCTTTAAATTTCACTCAATGCAGAAACCGTAATTTTAAAAAAATGGAGGGAAAGAAAATTAAGAAAAACATGAAAATAGGACACAATCTCAAGTCAATATACTGTACTATTCAGTGTTTTTTTTTGTTGTGTTAATGGACTGTAGATTCCAATACCTGTTCATTGTTTCCATTGAAGTTATTGCATCTAGTTATAACTATTGTTCAAAAATGAGACGGAAAATACTTTTGAAACTTTACAGTACATGTTTCAAATACAAGAATAAACATGTCTCTCTTTTATTTCTGCCTAGTTTTTTTGCTTGTTGATAAGATTTACTTGACCTGTTCAGTTGATTTTGGAACTTTGTTTGCAGTAACATACAAATTAAAACCGCTTTTTTACTGTGTCTCACAAGTTGAGTGCATTTTAAACATGATTGTCTGTTTTACATTTTCTTAAGGGAACTTTGTAGTTTGCTATAGTGGAAAGACTGAAGATACCTTGTGACAAATTGAATGTTATTTACTGTAACCAGCACCAATACAATGTCACTTTCAAATAAATGTGCATTGTTGAGAATCACAAAGTGTTTGATGTATTTTCTAAAAATGTAAAAAAATAAATTAAAATTGTTTCTCTTCTTGTCAAAAACCCATAATTCCTTTCAAAGGCACATTAATGTTCATGACCTTTATCTGAAATAGATAAAGATAAACTGAAACAGGCTATCTGCTTATGTAATATTATTCTTGTTCCCTTTGTAATGAAGTCCAAAAGTCCAAAGCAAGCTCTGCTGATTGATGCAGAGTTAGAAAACCTCTATTTAACACATTTGGTATATTTGAAACATTACAACATTCAGTGGAATTCTGTATCAAACATTCTGCAGAATTCAAAACATTCCAAAAAATCAACATGAAAATGTGGAAATAAAAGAAGCAGATTTGATTTAATCTGGGCCATGAGCTATCGTATTGATAGCAGCACTAAAATGAATAACACTTTTATGACACTGAGAGTGACATTTGATTTGAGTGTTTTAAGGCCAGTGAGCTTGACTGTTTGAAAACAGTAGTGCATGTAGGGGCGTAGTAGCAGCCATTACAAAAGTGTGACAAAAGCTGTGTGGTGATTTGACCCAAAGGTCAGTCCTTCCAGAAAAATGCGGAGTTTTTTTTTTTAGATTGATTCTGGCAAAAATCCTTGATTATGCAACACGCTAAAAAATGCAATGGGATAGGCGGGATATTCATTTTATGCAATCAAATTGCGGGAACTTGCAAAAACTGCAGTTTGATGAATAAGAGAGAAAAAGTGATTCCAACTATGGAGGGATTATTGGGTCAGATTGAAAACCAAAAGTCTAAAACTAAAAGTCTTAAACGAAAACTAAAAGTATAAATCGAAAACTCAAAGTCGAAGTCGAAAATTAATTTGGTATTTAGGATTGGGCATTTGGTATTTAGGATTGGGCATTTGGCATTTAGGATTGGGCATTTGATATTTAGGATTGGGCATTTGGTTATTTAGGATTTAGGATTGGGCATTTATGTATTTAGCATTGGGCATTTGGTATTTAGGATTGGGCATTTAATCATTTAGCAATTTAGTATTTAGGATTGGGCATTTGGGGATTTAGGATTGGGCATTTGAGGATTGAGGAGTGCATGCAAATAAGGAGGCGTGGCCCAAATACTGGAGGTTGGGTTTGAAATGGCTGGTGCGCAGAGGCACCTTATGGAGAGGGAGCTCGCTAACTGGCAGAGCGTCCTCTTCAAAGTGCTTTGCCATCCACGTTAGCTGTCAGTATGATAGTAACAATGGGAAAGCCAGAGCTGGCATCTTTGTTGAGACAGGCGCTGGACGTTTTGGACAAAGAGAAGGCTAGTAACAGTGGAGAGGCTTTTTTTCTTCGATCAACACATTTCCCTCGTCCACACCTAACGTTAGACCGAACGTGTTCGGTCTAAACGCAACCCCGACTCGCGCCCAACATGCTGTTCAAGGTAAGTTACATTATTGTTAGAAAAATACTGAGTGAAATGTGCTACTGTCAAACTCAAGCTAACGTTACAGCTGCTGCTAAGTATGAGCGGATCCGCGCGCGAGTCAGTCACACTATGGTGAGCGCTATGGAGCTAACGTTAAAGATGAACTGAACTGAAATTTGAGAAAAGGTGATATAACAGATGTATTTTGTTTATTCTCATTGGTACAATTTTTAAAATGGCAAAATTTGTTAAAAGGGATAAAATGGTACATTGAAAGTGTTGTTTTTGTTACACGGGCGCCGCCATGTTGGATTTCAACGTTCGACCACGTCACTGGCATGGTAAGCCACTCCGTTGCCTACCCGCACCAGCAGAACAGCCGTAGCTTGTAAACAGTCTGAGGCTAGCTGCCATGGCTAAGGAAACAGATTTTTTAGCGACACACTATTTAGAGATGTGTACTTTCGTCAATGAGTACATGAAACGTCTGACAATGCACGAAATGTTTTATTTACACAAGTTACAAGTTCAATGCATCACGTTAACGTTACTCGAATCCTTGATATTCGGGTGAGGGGGAAAAGATCCCTGATGTAGCCTATAGTTCACTGTAAAGGATGGGATTTTCTCCTTCCTAAATGCACCCTCGCCCATAGAGTGAACTGCCAGTACGCTGTTAATCTAAACAATCTGAGAAAAGTGTAACAAGTTAGCCCAGCCGTCACCTATTCGTAAAATACCCTGCTACTTATGGGGCGGTCCAGCGTCTCAGCTCGGACATCCATTAGAGACAGCATAGCCTCCTCCAACACGTTTCTCTCACCGAACAGCATCCGAAATGAACGGTGCATGGTGATGCATTTTTCGCCGATCAATAAATGTTCCAGGTTGACCTCTCTGCAACAGATCGTCTCCGTTCAGTGTCTATGCTCCACAGCGCTCGCGCCCACAGTCACTTTCCCCCAAACGATCCTGTACTGCAAGTGAAGCCTGAAACTGATCGTCCTCCATGTGGTGGTAGTTAGACACTACCGGCCTGTCCCTCACGGGCTCAAATGCGTAATCCATGCCGTTAAAAGCGCTCATTTTCGTCTGTGTATACAGGACCTACAGCTGTTGTCTATGGCGCTCCGCGGGTCCTACCATGCCAGTGACGTCATCGAAATTGCCAGCACAAAAAGATTTGTGTCTAGAACCAGTGCGTTTACTTTACTATAAATTCTATAATGAACATTCCAGTTCAATTTCCTGTTACATTCAATAATACAGAGAGAAAAAGTGATTCCAACACCCTGTTCTCACTAGGCTACTACCTTAATGTAAAGAGTAATTTCTTCTAACTGCCTATGATGAGAAAACATATTACATCACAGAAAGTGCTCGAATATTTTATCTTGTTTTATTTCAGACGTAATAAACACATGGCTCAAACTTACAAAACACTGATGAGTCAAACAAGTTCTGTAGCTTTACAAAAGGAAACTTCTGTAAAAATGAATAAATGAAATATTTAAGAAAATATTTCCTGTTTTACAACTTTTCGATGATGTTCACGTGTTCATAATAGAGTGCCGAAGTGATGACGTCACTTTGTAGGACAACTCGGAAGCTAGCGGCGCATGGGTTCCCTCGATCGTAAAGCTACGCATTTTCCCCCATAGACTTTTTGAAAATCGCAAAAAATAAGATTTGTGTTTAACAAAGAGTTGTGACCCTTACACGTTTTGTTTATCAAGACAATCTTTAAAAGTTAATCTAAAATGTATACAGTTTTTAACTGTGTTCTATATCAAAACGTGAAAATGCTTTGTTCACCACAGACCTTATTTCAGGCGATTTAGCAAAAACCATTCAAAAATTCCATTGACTTTAGAGCGAGGGAACTGGGAGTGCTAAAATGCTAACTCCCGCGTTTTGGCCTACAGAGTGACGTCGTAACTTCGGCACTCTATTACGCCACAGTTCATAACGTTCCCATGGCAATGGGGAAATGGCTGCTCTTGGGTAAAGTAAACGCAACATTTTTCAAATTTCTGCTAAGATATATATGAAGCAACAAAAATGGGGATTATGAAATCATACAAGCCCTGTATATTTTGCACGAAAATCTGCAATTTATTTGGCGAAAATGCGCCGTATTTGAGAAAATGTCCCTGCATAAATATGCAGTCTTTGGCTGATTATGCATTGAATCATGTGATCACATAATCACGTTTTTCTGGAGGGACTGAAAGTTGATGTTCAAAATAATAAATTCTATATTGAATTGACAGCAATTGACATTTTACAGCACCCTAGTGGCAATTTTGGGTACATGCCATGATACAGCAACCTATTTTTGTGAAATCATACTCAAAATAAAAAAAATGCTGCAGCACTTGGGACTTTCAGACCATTGTGGACATCTATACTTTATTTTTATGAAATAAAGATTTTTTTTAATGATATTTACAATATTTCAGTTAAACTACTGTAGCAAGGTAAGCAGGAGAAGGGGGTAATCCACCTGCCGGAAACTGAAGACTCCCCAGGAGCCGCCATTTACAAAAATCTTGTAATCTTTTGGCCATGTGTTTGTGGCAGTCCATCTGACAGGTGAGAGGTTTGATTTAAAAACACAAAAACCTCTCACATGATCCTGTTTAATTCCAGAGGAGGCACTTTCTGTATTTTGCTTTCCTTTTCTACTCCTTTAGAAATCTCCTGTACCTGGTTGTGAGTCAGTTTAAGCAAGAGCTCCCTCTTGTGCAGCGGATGAGCACTCTCACAGCAGCCAGAATCACAGCACTGCAGATCAGAGAGACTCCACTGAGGAAGAATGTAGATGTGTAGGAGCCTGTCTGATCCACTAGCCAACCTGAGAGAGAGATTTCGTAAAACACTCTGATTTAGTTAAATATACTCCAGGCACATACAAGTGAATAAGCAACTGTATGTGTAAACAGTAAAGCATAACTCCAATAACTTGTGTGATTGATTCTGGCCACGTATTGGAAAATAAGAATCTGTCGGTGTGTTTGAGCGTGAAAGAGAGAGTGGGTAAATCTTCTCTGACCTCCAATAGGTGGGCTGATGAGGTAGGGGATGGCGTGGAGGAAGTAAACAACTCCCAGAGCTGAGGTCAGTTGGGTGGAGCTGACCGTGTCGGAGGTCACCACAGGAATAAGTGCCACGTAAGCTCCGTCAAAGTAGCCATAGATGAGAGAAAAGGGGACGAGGAGGGAAAAATCACTCAGCAGAGGCAGAAAGAGACAGCTCAGCCCTTCCGACCCCACAGCCAGCATGTAACTCACCACCCTATATGGCCTCAAACACCTAAACATAAGCGAACCGAAACAGATCAAACCACAGGGTTAGATGGGAATCGAATCGTTGAGAATTACAGTAATAAGCAGTTCCATTAACAGTATTTTTAGTACGTTCAAGGAATTAATAAAAAAAGAGAAAATATTTTGAACAATATGGTAAATACATTTTTAGAATACGTGTTTGTTCCAGCTTCTAATGACATTTCAGTGCTTTTTGCTTAAAGTTGTTATGAAACAAAAAGTTCTATTCTTCTATTCTCTATTGTGAAGATGTGTATCCATGTGAAACGGCTTCTAATATGAGA